TGCCTCCGCGCGCGCTGAGAGTGATATGCGCGTTTCAAAAGCATGCAGCAGGGAGCTCTCTCTCCCATAGTCTTCAAGGACATGTTGCTAGCGCTGGAGAAGAAGCTGGACGGTAGAGTCAGTAAACACCAAGTCGCCGAACGTTTCCTTGAGGGCTTAAACCCCGTGGTTCGGCATCACCTGGAGAGGCACCTCATCACCGTGGAGCGCACCAAATGGTACGATCGTTTGGAGAAGACGGCACAAGAGGCTGAGGTTGTGTGGAATAACCTTCCGCTGGAGGACAGGGCAGTGCAGGTACACAAAAAGCCGCCGCAGCAGAAGAGTGCAGCAAAACCCCCTATTAAGGAAAAACGCACCTTTTACTGCGAGAAGCACGGCACTAATGCATCTCACGATACGGCGCAATGCCGTGTCTTAAATCCCCCAAAATCGAAGTCCGCGCTTTTGACTTCTGACATCCCCTCCGGAATTGTTGAGCGTTTGGTTGCCTTGATTTCCCAGGGACAGGGCAGCGCGTCGACCTCAGGGGGGTCCAGGGGAATAGGCGGGCAAAAACAGAAGGGGGCTGGGCCATCTAAGCCCAAGCAGGGACAGGGTGTTAGCGAATCGCGGGGGAATAGGCCATCTTGCGAGTTCTGCGGAACCATGGGTCACCAGCAGAGCAAGTGCTTCATTTTCCACCCCGAGCTCGCTCCCGCGGGCTACGAGCCTGCTAACCCAGCCCTGAAGGTTTTATTTCTGCAGCGCAAGAAGGCGGTTGAAAAGAAGGCGGCCTTGGCGGCGGCTGTTGCCGCAGCTTTCGAGGACGACTTCGCAGCAGAGGACGACGGGGATGAGGAGGCGGCCTGCTGCACGACGCAGTTCCATGAAGCGGCGTCGAACGTCTCTCCCAGCCAGCAGGCCAGGATGGCGCCACTCACATGGACACGCAGCACACAAGAGGTAAGGTACAACAGCTTAGCCACCATGCATTCGCAGGCTGTTCCCAAGTCCTTTACTCCTGCCCCTTTAGTCACGAAGCAGTACCCGCCACCGACACCACCTGTGGCGAACAACTCAAAACGCACTCACACACCGCTAGATGACAATATTCTCTTGCGTAAAATCTCCGACATGCCTGTCGGCACTTTCTTCAACCTGCTTTGCCAGCAGGGGCTGCCTTCCACCGGCGGCCCCTTAGACGCTAAGCCCCATCCCCCAAGCACGGCCCAAGCAACGCAGGGTTCAAGCTCAGTTTCGAGCAGCTTCGGGGAGGGATTTTCCACGCTTCAGGCAGACAAGAGTGTGCAGCTCGCCTGTTTCCCGGCGGCAGCACCGGAGCTGGTCACGCCACCTCCCCTTGATTCTGGCCTGGCGTCTTTTGCCCTGGCGGCCCAAGGGCGCGCCAAACCCTCCGACCACCGTGGTGCCGGTTTTGAGTACCAGGTAAGTGGGGTTAAGGGTCCACCTCCGCGCACTTTGTCGGAGCTCTCGCCTGACGAGCGGGAGCAGGCTTTAGCGGTTAATCCGTCGGCGGCGCGTTACATGGGGGAACCCGAGGGTCTGTATTACTACGAAACAGGGGCGTGTGTGTTGGTTCAGGGGCAGCGCGACAGGGCAGCTCCGGAGGCGTTGCGTGATTTTGCCGCAACGGTCAACGTAATGCCGACCAGTGTAGCCAAAGCACTTAACCTGCCCATAGTCGAGACAACCACGCGGCTGTCCACCTCGTTGCAGCTAGGGGGTGCTGTGCGAGGAGAGTTGGACACCTCAAACATCTTTTTTGAGCTTCTTCCGGGCACGCCGCATGCCACGCGGGTCCCGCTTACTAAAACCCTGGTCGTTGACGAGCGACCCGACCTGTTTCAGCTCCTAGTGGGTAACGAACAGGCGAAATTCTTAGGGGACGCTCTGGAATCATATCCAGAGCCTAGGCTGCACTTTCATCCTAACTTTTTGCAGTACCCTAATTATAAGGTAACGATTCCCATGCGCAAGCTTGTGAAGCACAAGCCTTCTCAGCATGGTTCGCTTGTGGGAGTTGCGTGCGTCAGCATGGCCATTCCCAGCACCTCTCCTCCCGGCTCCGAGCTGGGGGGGGGGGAATCCACCGCTGACGTCCCTCCTATTCCGCACCAGTCCTCTCATTCCTCTGAGCAGGGCACGACAACCGCCTACGTCAACAACACTAGGCGAGATCACTGGGGCAACTTCGCGTCCCGGTTATCAGTCGGTGCGAATCAGCTTGGTTCCACTTTCCTTTTGCTACTTACGTATGCCACTTTCTTTGTGGACGCATTCAACGTGTGTTTTGTTAGCCCCGTTCTCACGGCGGCTGGTGCCGTTCTTTCGTACACGGCAAACGGTTTAATAGATCACGCTTGCCTAGCTACACGACCCATGCATGTTTCCTCTTCACGCCACCCTCCTGCTCGCACAGGAAAGCGAAAGAAGCCACTGTATAGGCGAAGGTCTGTGTTAGGCCATCCTGCATCACAGCCACGTAGCGGCTGGCACTTCGCTTCCTTTGCTCTCGTTGCATCCCTGTTGCTAACTGTAGCCGCAGGAGCAGGTGCCATGCAAGCATCGTGGACTGGCAGTGACATGGTGCAGGCGTCGTCCAGTTTAATCACCACTGGTGGCGTCATCTTGCATCAGCCGGGAGCACCGTCCATCTTTCCAAGGACCCGCCCTATGGCATAAACATGCCGGTTACCGACCGTTTGGGGCCCATTAACCCAACCGGCCGGTTGAATGGCGTTAACGGCCCGGTTGGGTTAACGGTCGGTTGGGTTAACGGTCGGTTGGGTTAACGGTCGGTTGGGTTAACGGTCGGTTGGGTTAACGGCCGGTTGGGTTAACGGCCGGTTGGGTTAACGGCCGGTTGGGTTAACGGCCGGTTGGGTTAATGATCAGTTGGGTTAACGGTCGGTTAATTGGATTAATGGTCAGGTGGGTTAATGGTCAGGTATTCATCCTACCTAGCACCCTGCCTGCATGCCTACACACCTGGGACAGTACTGTTATCACTGCCTCCCACATCATCTTGGCACCATGCCATTAAGCATATTCATATATGATTTAGGTATATACCTAAAATACCTAAATTTATCCTTGTCCATGTGTGCACACCACTGTCACCCGTGTCACCTGGCATTCCTTGACTGCACAAGGCCATCACACCTGTCACCTGTAATCTGCATAAACCTTCCTGCACAAGGCTGTCACCCCTGTCACCCGGCATTCACAACAATGTTTGTGTCATCAACGTCAGCGTCACCACCCGGCATTCACAACAATGTTTGTGTCACCAATGCCACCAATGTCAAGCAGCATTCACACAAGCCTGCACGCTTTG